CTTGTGGATACTATGGATCAGGTAGGTAGTACAGCTGTAGCAGGGTTGATGTGATCAGAGAGTAGATAATAGGGATTCCTATTAATCATGCCTGATGTTTGATGATACTGCTCAGTGATATCGGGAATGCTGGTTGTTCATTTGTCTGACGTCATATGAGTCAGCACGGCTGGCTTACTACCATGTACGCGGGCAAGCAAAAAGACGCTCTGAAGTTCACATGTCGTTATATGGAGAATTAGCTGTCAAGGGGCACATAGTGTTTCGCCCTCGAATAAAGTTGAAACGAAAAATCGATGAAATTTCATGCACACGTGGAGAGTATCTTAAGATGTAGAGATGGGAGCTGTGAGGATGTGATGAGCTAGGAAGTCAGTGTATAAGCATCTGAGAAACTGCAACAAAAGAAGTATGCAGAAAGTCTCTTATCTGATCTCTCTGTTATACTATATGTATGGTGGGCTGAGTAGCCCATTTACATACCAAACCTGTAACTTCTTGTACCAGTGTGTCTATGGTATATAAGCCAGGGAGCTCGTTCTATCGATTATGAGCTTTTCACACATTTGTTGTTTATCCTCGTGCAGATTCTTACGAAGCGAGGCGCAGCAGATTGCTACGATGTGTGTGAACCACTTCCTGTCAGTCATTCATTGCTCTCTGCAGAAACTCCATCTAAAGACGTAGAGAAACGGTAAAGATTTAAATGTTTTGTGTTATTCCGCTACTCACGGTTTACTGAACTGTTATTTGAACAAAGTTATCATGGATGTTAGTGCAACTTGGATAATCTTCACATTGATAAACTAGGTATTAATAACACACAAGACGCCCACATTTTGCATGCCGCATGCCACACATCACCGCATGTAGTACCACACCATTTGTGGTTCTTGATATTAGAGAAAGTAGATCTGTACATATTATATTGTAGTGAATTTGTTGTGTCTGGCAGGTTGAAAGCCAGCAGCTGAATTCTCACACAAAGGGAGAATTATCGCAACACATGTAGCTATCATTTGCGTTGTTAATAATGTGGAAATGATTGTGCTATCAGTAAGAGTAGACATTCCCAAGAATGTTGATGCATTGATCTATTAAATTAAATATCCATACTATATTTTAATGTATGAAATAAAACAAGTGATCTGAATATTAAATAAACCTCGACTTGATCCTACGACTGATATTATCCAATATAGTGCCAATTTGCTGTTGCTATATTGTGAGGTATCTGGAATAGTTTCATAGGGCTAATCGCACTATATAATTGTGGGAAGCATGGCATGGTGTAGAAGCTCACTCGCAAGCTAAGCATTCGCTTGTCTATAAAAGGATTGTCGTATGTTTCTAGACGTGATTGCTGCTAGTATGGCCTAGCAACATGATTGTGAGCCAGATTTGCCCCGTCTCATAGAAACTTGACAAGTATGGATATCCAGAGCTGGGGAGATACGAGGTAAATGAAGGCACAACTGGCTTAATAGTATTCACACGAATTGGTATTCCGGTGTGCTAATTTGGTACAGTCTTTCTTGTCTCGGACGAAAGAAATGCATAGATTGATAGCGAATCAAGCTGGATTGTTACTTGCAGGAGGTCATTGCTCTTCTTTTTACATCTAACCAGGAGTCATGTTTTCGCCCTGTTAGTTGTTCGCTCCGCAAGGAGGTCATGTTTTGCCTGTTTCTTTATTAACTCCACGCAAGGAGGTTTGTTTCGCCCTGTTAGTTTATTACCTCGCCAAGGAGGTCATGTTTCGCCCTTTGTTATACGATCTAACAGTGGAGGTCATGTTTTAGCCTTAGTTGGGTTAGTTTATTACCCTCCGCCAAGGAGGTCTGTTTTCGCCTGTTCGTTGTTACTCTACCAGAAGGTTATGTTTCGCCCTGTTCGTTTGTTACCTGCCACCAGGAGTTGGTGTTTTCGCCTTTTCGTTAGTTTGTTCCTCAACAAGGAGGTTGTTTCGCACTTGTTCGTTGATTACCTGCCACAAGGAGGTATGTTTTCGCCTTGTTCGTATTGTTACTCTCCAAAGGGGTTATGTTTTCGCCCAGCTGTAATCGTATAATCTCCAGGAGTATGTTTCGCCCTGTGTAGGTTTGTTGATCCTCGATATGTCAAAGGTATATTCAAAAAGTTACAGATGGATTTTGATGAATTTTTGGATGGGTTGGTTTTGCAAGAACAATTGATTAGATTTTGGTGTGATCTGGATCTTTATTGTCAGCGATTGTGCAATCGGCTGACAATAAAGATCCAGATCACCACCAAAATCTAATCAATTGGTTCTTGGCCCAAAACCAACCCATCCCAAAAATTTCATCAAAATCCATCTGTAACTTTTTGAGATATCCTGTTGACAGACAAACCAACAAACTAACAGGGGCGAAAACATAACCTCCTTGGTAGAGGTAACAAGCGAACAGGGGCGAAAACATAACCTCCTTGGTAGAGGTAACAAACGAACAAGGGCGAAAACATAACCTCCTTGGTGGAGGTAACAAACGAACAAGGGCGAAAACATAACCTCCTTGGTGGAGGTAACAAACTAACAGGGGCGAAAACACAACCTCCTTGGTGGAGGTAACAAACGAACAGGGGCGAAAACATAACCTTCTTGGTAGAGGTAACGCCAAGGAGGTCATGTTTTCGCCCCTGTTCGTTTGAAGGTAACAATCAGCGTGATTCACTATCCAATCATGCATTTCTGTGGTCCGAGACAAGAAAGACTGTCCCAAATTATTGCACACCTGAATACCAAGATGTCTGTGGTGGAATACTATAATGCCAGTCTGTGTTCATCTTACCTCGTGTATCTCCCCAGCTGCTGGGTATCCATACTTGTCAAAGCTTTCTATGAGACGGGGCAAAATCTGGCTCACAATCAGGTTGCAGTTGGCCAGTACTATCAGCAATCTGACGTCCTAGAAACAACGACAGAATCCTTTTATAGACAAGCGAATGCTAGCTGTGCGAGTGATAGCTTCTACTACATGCCATGCTTCCCACAAATTATATAGTAGCCGATTAGCTTGAAAACTATTTCCAGATACCTCACAATATAGCAACAGTAATGGAGATATATTGGATAACTATCAGTCGTAGGATGCAATGCGAGGTTTATTTTAATATCTAGTTCACTTTTTATTTTAGTTTCATACATTAAACATATAGTAGGGATATTTAATTTAATAGATCAATGATCAACAGGATCTGGTGGAATGTCTAGCTCTACTGATAGCACAATCATTTCACATTATTAGACCAAACGCAAATGATAGCTACCGTGTTGGGTAATTCTTCCCCCGTTTGTGTGAGAAATTCAGCCTGGCTGGCTTTGCAACTGCAGACACAAACAAATTACTACAATATTAAAATATGTACAGATCTACTTTCTCTAATATTTAAAGAACCCACAAATGGTGTGCGTACATACATAGGTGTATGTGTGTGCATGCGTGCATGCAAAATGGTGGGGTCTTGGTTTTGTGATAATACCAGTTTATCAATGTGAAGATTATCCAAGTTGCAATACATCGATGAAATAACTGTGTAAATAACAGTCAGGTAAACCGTGAAGTAAGGGAATAACACAAACGAGTTAACATTTTACCGTTTCTCTACGTCTTTAGATGTGAGTTTCTGCAGAGTAGGAATGAATGACTGCAGGAGGTTCACACACATCGTAGACAAATCCTTCTGCGACGCTCTGTTCGTAAGAATCTGACGAGGAGAACAACAAATGTGTAGAAAGCATCATAATCGATAGAACTAGCTCCCTGGGCTTATATACCATAGACACACTGGTGACAGAAGTACAGGTTATGGTATGTAATGGGTGACTCAGCCCACATACATATAGTATAACAGAGTGAGATAAGATAAAGGATGACTTTCTGCTAGTTTCTCAGATGATTATACACTGTTCCCTGAGCTCCATCACACCTCACCAGCTCCCCATCTCTACATCTTAAGCTAGTATCGCTTCACTAACACTATCATCTATAAGTCACCTCTTGCTCTCCAGGGACACTTGGGGTTAGAACGTCCTGTAGTATCTGTAGACATTCCAGAACAATATTTTCATACTTCTGGGGCTGTAATTAAAAAAGGTAACAGCATATTTAACACAAAATCACTGTATTTAAATATTTGGAACAGCACTCATTCTAATTTTGTTTTTATTAATGAAGAAAGAGGTAGTTTTTATTATTATAGTATCTATCAGAGTACCTTATGATAGATATTTATTGCTTAGAGTTATATTTCAAGTTACCATTTAATTGATACATTTAATAAAATAAATTCTTACTACAAAATCATCACAAAATAACTTGTTAATTAAAACAGTGTGACTTAATACATTATTAGAACGAACTGTGATGGTACCATGGGCATGAATCTAACTGATGTCAGAATTACAAATTATCATGTTCGATATGATTTTAAAATACTAAGTGGTATTGTACACAATTTTTTTATAACGTATGGCAAAATCTTTTAATTGAGTCACATGGACTCCTTGTTTTAAATTAGGGATTCCAACTATAAAACAGCAAGTATCTGAAGAAGGCATGTACAGGGAGTTTTTGAGTTATTTGTAGTAAAGCGGATTGTTAATTCGTGTTACCTTCACTGCTCCGCTAACATGTATAACTCTTAAAAAACGTGAATGCTCAGCATGCGCTCACCAGATTCGTTGTGGCTCCAGTAGTGTCATCGACATCAAGAACCCAATCTTCCTGCAGATACAGACATCTGATCTCCTCGGATGCTTTCTGAAAGAGTGCTGCCATGCACTGGATGCGCATGTCGGACACGAGACGTTCCACTATCCCTGTCAGGTCTCCTGCTAGGTCCATGGCACGCAGGGAGGAGTAGCACGACCTAGGACAACATAGACCTTACACTTATACAGCTGCAGCTACAGACTCACCTTCATCCACACAGAAAATGTGCTCACACAAACAATATGCTCATGCCAATGATGACATATACAGCAATGGTATATGTATATCTATTTTTTTTTCTTTTTTGCTTCACTGACCCCTACGGGAGTCGGATGAATAAAGTGTGCGTGCGTGCGTGCGTGCGTGCGTGCGTGCGTGCGTGCGTGCGTGCGTGCGTGCATGCATGCATGCATGCATGCATGCATGTATGTGTATGCATGCATGCATGCCTGTATGTAATATGTATGTATGTATGTAATAAATCCAATAGTAATCCATCCTTTCCAAAGTAATAAATCTATACTACAATTATACACAGTTAATAGAGATTAATGAGATAATATAATAAACGTACCAAGAGCGTATTAAATGTATTTAATATACTTTTTCATACTTAATGCGCTCTTGAACGTATGTATGTTAATCAGAGAACCGGGGAAGTAGAGAAAGGTTCACTACCTCACGTATCTAACACAGTGTGGAATCCAATCTGTGTACATCTCCTGATGAGTGGTCTGCCACCCCACGAGTTGCTGAGCACTACCGGCTCCAGCTGATTTCAGACTGTTTGGCACCAACGCAGCTCGTAGTAAGTTGCAGTACATCTCCAGTACATCATGCATCATAGCCTAATATTAGGATAGTGTGAACATACAGATATACTATATGCCTGTTTTGTCAAGTATTCGATATCACTGCGAGAGAGAGAGAGCGAGAGAGAGTGAGAGAGCGAGAGACAGAGAGAGCGAGAGAGAGTGAGAGAGAGCGAGAGAGAGAGCAAGAGAGAGAGAGAAAGAGCGAGAGAGCAAGAGAGAGAGAGAGAGAGAGAGAGCGCGAGAGAAAGAGAGAGAGAGAGAGAGAGAGAGCGAGCAAGAGAGATTATTATTCTATATAAAATACAATGAATTATATGGTGAAGGGAGCTGTCCACTTACAGTGAATGCAGTGGAATCTTCTTTTCCATACCGACTAGATGTGATCTATACAGCAAGAAAATCGTCAAAACAATGTGTGTTAAAATTCTACCACTGAAGGAACGTGGTGAGCAAAGACAAGGATTCAATATAGTTATGATATAGTCGAATTGATACTGTACACGATACTGACTCTAAAAAGTTGATGAATGTATACAACACAACAACCGATCCCATGACTCACTGATAGAGATAATCAATCTTCTATGTATTTGAGTAAACCTCAACATCAATTTTAAGCTCTCACATTTTTCAGTTCTCCAGCCAAATATGATTGTCCGAGCTTGTACATGTCAGGCAGATGTTGCATCAATATTTCCGTCAATTCCTCAACAAATAGTACACGTTGTGGAGTACGGAATCTTGCAGCTACCGACTCTGATCCCTGCCCGCCCGCATGTCCACCTGCTAGGTACAGAAATGCAAGTGACGGATTAAAGTAAATTAACTAGTAATATAATGCATGCACAAACCTGGAAAAAGATGATCATCTTCTACTCTGACATTTTGGAAATTCGAGTCCAATGTTTTTTTTACAATAGGAACATTAAAGGAATAACATGGCCATTGATTATGCAATGTTGACGAATGCTAGAGTAACTGGCACCTTGTGTAGTTAATAAGTACATTACCTTATAGCCAAATGCATATTAGTTTGTCCAATATCACTGCTGGTTACTAAGAAATGTCTAATTGAAATCCACAGTCCAAGAAATGTTTACAGTTTACAGTTTCACTTTCAAATCGCTGCCAGCGAAGCGGGTGTGATACAGATTTATAGTGCACCGGACATTTTTGCACGCATGCTCGGCCGTACACAATGCTATCATCAGTGATTTCGTAAACACGGACGCTCGTGATAAGGAACTTTTTGTCAGGGCTGTCCATGTGCGTCCGTGATTAGTACGTTTGTTTTACTCCATTTCCATGTTTAGGTCCGTGGCCGTGGTTACACAGCTGACACCTCCATTTCATCTGGCGTCCAAAACATACAGGCCCGCACAAATGTTTACGTCATCGCCGCGACTTATCGCTTGACTCCTGGATGACATTTACGGCACGTAACATGAATATCAACAAACCGATTTCAAGTCTTGCTTGTAATGTAACCAGCAGTGATATTGGACAAACTAATACGCGTTTGGCTATAAGGTACATGTACTTATGAACTACACAAGGTGCCAGTTACTCTTAGCATTCGTCAACATTGCATAATCAAATGGCCATATTATTCCTTTAAGTGATCGCTGTCTACATAGGAAGCTGTCCACTCACCAGTGGTGTAGCCAGCTATTCAAAAACAGTTTTGATGATTTCTGGCTGGTCTTCACTTCCTTGATTTTTCTGTGGAACGAGAGAGACAACAGACACTATATAGGCATCATTAGCAGCAGGTGATTTTATATGGAAATAGATCAGTAAATGTGATAGATGGTGTTGTGTGGCTGCTTTAGCTACAGGCACCAGGAAGTACTATGGCTACATTACACAACATGTGTCTCTAACTTACAGAGAGAAGTTTGTTTCGGATTCCAATACATCCATACAACTTGAATGTTGCAATTTTCTCAGTACAGTTACTTGAAATTTCAAAGAAACAAAAACATCTATTGAACACAAGAAACAACAAGCACACAAACAAGAACACAAGAAACAAAAACAAGAAGGAAAAGCTGCCATCTTTTTTACATTTTACTCTCAACCTATGCTGCCACAGCTTAAATCTCAAGTGCATTCCCAAGATTGGTTTCACACCAGGAATCAGTTTATTGTGCCTTTACTGCCTTAAAGGGTTCAAGAAGACTGGCAGCATTGGGATCCAAGCTTGGACACCACTGGTGGTAAAACATGGATAAGCAGCCGTACGATCTAGACTTAGGTTGTAGAGTGGCTGAGGTCAATGCTAGGTGTAATTGTAGGCACCAGTCGGTCAAGCTCATTGTCCCATACTCACTCACCAGCCTTTATATGGTCAACCTGACAAACATGACCATAGTGCTAGTTATCCAATCATGATGATTTGATATGCAGAGCCAGGCTGGGTTGCCTGCTGTCTCCAGGCCATTTAAGTACCTAAAAATACACCAGCAACACTCATACTTGACATATCATATTGAAAACAACTTATTATCTTGGCGTGATTATGTGTTATGCCCTGCGTAAGGCCTAGGTAGCACATAAGGCAGTGACAAGTCAAGGCGTTATTATAGCATCGGTAAATAACCGTGAAAAGATAGCAACTGTTTATCGTGAAAATGAGGAAACAACGTTACCTACTAAAGAAGCTGACCATACTTACATGATGAGTCTTTTTGCTCCTCTAAAGGAAGCAGGAATCTGCGAAAGTTTGTTTGTCAACTTCTGCTGCAGGCGCTTGTATTCTTTGCTCTACATCATCGTAAACTGCAAAACATAATTCTCAGGTTAATAGTGACCTCATGCTAGCATTTATTAATTAGAGCAGTAAACAACAGGAAATTGTTAAAACACTAAACTCCCACAATGAGCACAAACACATGTCAAGTAAAAATTGACATATTTACAATTTGTTCTTGCTTCTAAACAATTCACTGCTGTCATCTTTGAAACACTTACCAGTTTGTGAATATTTTCACTCTAGTATCCGAAAATAGAGATTTTGCTCTGCTCCAGTCGTTTATCACAATTTCTATGTCGCCCTAAAATTTGTTTTAAAAACAGAATATCATCAAACCAGCAACGCCCTAATATTTATTCTCAGAGACAAGTCAAGAATATTTCACTATTAATTTTTATATACCTTTGGTAACAAACAATGCACACTAAACCAAGATGTATAGACGTTAACACAACACTGGGATTAGGTCCATAAACGCATTTACAATTAATTTCAAGTAAACTGCATGGACACACATAGCACATGACAAAGCACAAGTGTGAAGTACACCTTCGTGTATATTCTTCTCGATGCTTCCCGGCAGATCTGAACAGCGAAACTTGAAGCGTAACAGGACGGTTGAGCGCGTTTCTGATGGTGTCCGCGCGGGTCTCGTCGCTTCAGCACGTCTTGCAACAGGTCGGTTGGCCATGCGAGGGCCTCTACAACACACACACAAGCATGTATCAGAGACGATCTGCCATTACAGATTACAGGTAGGTCTGTTTTACGAATCAGGTACTATTAATTAGCTGTTATACCTATTAATACCTATAATTACCTATATATGGTAGATGCTGCAACAAGAACTATTAATTACCTGAGAGAATTACTTCAGCGCTGTGATCAGTGAGATGACCTTCAGATGCCCTCTGGTCAGACATGATCATGCCCTGTAATGCTGCACAACAAGCAACAACGTTACAGAACGCCGCAAAGGCAAAACGTGCAAAGTATCGCCCACACAAAAGTGGACGCGTCGCGTAACTTTTTGCAGAGACGTATGACCGTCGACTTTCTCTTCTGTTAGTAGCAATAACTACGCGCATACAGCCGCGGACATACATGCAGATACTACGTGGTATCAGTCGCATTAAATGAAGTAGAGCGCTGTGGTGTTCACAAAATAATTAAACAGATTCAGATACTTTTCAGTATCTTGTATTTCTAACGTTCAACATGGAAACTGGCTGCCCCGGAAAACTCTGTTTCGATTACTTCCTTTTCGTCGATAGGTGGCAGCATAAATACAGTATTCTCAATACATAAAGCTTTATGAATGATTCATATGCCGATATTGCCGATATATCAGCATATCGACATTAGAAGCCGCGCTCATACATGTCAGCGTGTTTATGCACTGCTGCCAGTGAATGAATCTAGGTTGTCCTTCACAAGAGATGCTGGTCCATCGAGCGTGTGTGTCCTACGTCTCTGCATGGTGTGTCAGACCCGCCTTTAGGTCATCAAAACTGAAATTTGACATGAATGAGTGGCTTTTACACCACTAGTGCTAATAACTACGGAGTTTAATCTCCATAATATAAAATTCTTATACTTTTACAAAGGGTTATAGATTAGTGTTAGATTAAAATTTAGATTATAGTAATCGATTCTGTTCGACTTTAGTTGTCCCTGTTATGAAGTTTATATATTTAGTGAAACCAGTATAAGAAGTGAGAAGCTCGAAGAGAAGTGTTGATAGCATCTAGACTCAAGTAAGCTCACAAGCCTCTGACCGCCTCATGTTAATCCGCAGAGTCCTTAAAACATGCCATTTGAACAGTCGTAAGCGAAAAACTGGATTCGTATCTCTTAATTCACATGGTTTTTGTCTACATCACCTTCTAAAGATGAAATACCAAGAAGAAGAATGGAAAGCACATTTGCAACTCTCACAACACATAACTATTACACCTGCGTTCTGTGATTTGTAGGCTCATAGAAACCTTCATAATATAGGAAACACATTTATGACACAAGAGATAATTCAATCGATACCTGGATCCTTGGTGATTTTCTACCAGAAACCACTGAGCTACGAAATCATCACTATTGAGATTTCCAGATCCTTCGGGAAATAACTCTACCAGTTCATTGTTCGGTAGATCTCTTGCTAGAAGATATGTGTAAATCAATAAATGAAGCATTAAGCAGCAGAAGACTACTCAGTGACATTTTACAAATTTTGATAGTGCTATCCAAGTATCCCAATTCTGAGTTTCCGTCAGCTTTTAAATGGATTACTAGATTGCTAAATGCCAATGATCAAAAAAATTGTTACGCTGCCCAGACCCCACGTAATACAGTGCCTGTTACAGAACCAAGGTTACAACAGATGTCCATAAGCTTATGTTCCAAAGACCATTACAGAACACATGACTATGAGGTGTCTACTACATAGAAATCAAGTGATGATGTTTGACACAATGGTGCATAGGGCATTGACATGCCACCTTGCTGCTAGCTTTAGAAAGTAGTAAGCAGTAATAAGTAATAAGTTAGCAGTTCTGCAGAAGCAGTACCCGGATCTGACTCAACATGGAACAAAATAGCTTACTGAGTTGCTTCATCTGCAGGCCATAGAGGAATCTATCTGGGAGACATAAGGCGATTGCACCCTCCGCTCTCCTGCCTTGTCAAACATGCTGCGGACTCACTCCACCCCATACCAGGCTGACTCCTGAAGACGGGCCCTTCAAAACACATTAGTCCCAATGAAATTCAATGTACAGTTAAATAACTTGGTCAGCTAGCTTATTCTGAAACATGACAAGATATATGGCACAGGCAAACACCTAGCGTTTGCAACCATTTAGTATTCACCACTCATTCCATACTCTGGCACATATAAAAATTCCACACGTAAGGGTACAACTATTCAACCCAAATGATTGTCCTGCGCTGCTATCCTTGACCTGTTTGCCACAAGAATCCTCTGAACTTTGACAGTACGCGCGTGCCGTATTCCTCTCACGACCTGGTGAGCAATGATCACAATCAACCGACACCTTTGCAGGGTTCCAGTGCGAGCGACCAGCCTTGCACTAGATGAATCCACTCCCATGGTCCATCACACAGCATCCACCCCAACATTATCCTGAGTGCTGTCTCATTGAAAAAACATCACAGGAAATCATAACATAAGTTACTCGAGTGTGCAATGCTATAATCAATTACTTATAGCACATCACACATCCTTAAGAATTTCATATCAATGTGGCAAATGTCACACAATTAAATCAGGTTTAAAAGTATCACGGGTGCATTTTGAAACTGATAATAACTGTACTACAACGTAATTTGGATTAAAGAAGCCATTGACTGCAAAAAGGAACATTTTTACTAATTAAATCTAGATTTGTTTAATTGATCTGTAACAAACTATAGCATCTACCCTGTTTAGGCTAACAATACTGTGAATTTTTGCCAACAACCTGAACACGAACAAATTGTTAGTAGAGTAGTCTCCAATTTCCTGCAACCCAGTAATGGCCAAACATATGCACGCACAGACATACGCTCACTGTACGCCAACAATTTGGATGCAGAAAACGTTTGGCAAGAGATGAAGCATGGGCT